CTATTCGTCACACAACCCTGAGAAGCTCATGGTCAGAGATTGGAACTCTTGAAGTGATTTTGTAGTGTGCGACCAGGGCTAATCATCAGCAAGAATTTATTCACCTGTTGCTAATTAGTGTGGAACTTGCTGGCACGGCGGCAGGGTACGAGCAGATCGAGTATAGAACAAATAATTGAAAGGAGCCTGCTACTTTAGGTAGTCACATTATTCTGTCCGAGCTTTCGAGGACACTCCATTACGTATTCCAACGTGATCCACCATCGGGTAAGGTAAGGTAAGGCGTGAGGCCTGTGAGGATCGAACATGTCAATACATTTTATAAATAAAGGATGAATAGACTGTGTTATATACCTCCAGGGCTAAATCCAGTGACGAATCTGCTGACGATAGTGAGAGTACAGTTTTTGAAAAACAAAATCCTCCACATCCAGCACCTGCAACTCTAGATGGCAAAAAATTGGACATGACAATAACCCTGAAAACTGGAACCACTGATCAGACGCACAGCAGGCAACGTACTACTTACTGCAAACCCTAATCTGTTCCAGGCAGCTACTAATAATGAAACGCTGTGCACACTTACAAATCATGGTTTTAGTAAGAGCTTGCTTGGCTCAGGTGGCTCAAAGGTCCCGCTCGAAGCCTAAAACAAAGTAAGAGGATCTTCAAGATTTATCCCTTTCTAAATTTCTGTGTCGAGCGGCAATTGCAGGTTCAAGCCGCTCACTTACCGAACACTCCTGATCCCAGTATCAGTGTAGACAGTTTGCATGGATGAGTTTGAGAGGATGTCGTCCAAGTTTCGGGGGCGATCTTCATGTGGCTCCATTGCCGCGATTGTTGGAACAAATAGGATATGTTTGTTAGGCGATCGTGAAAATCATGGAGCCCCACATGGTCGACGTTATTTACGTCGCACATGTTGAAGTGACATCAACGGGAGAACTAGGTTTCAGTGAAAAGAGCTCGCTGTAATCAGTAAGTACTGTAATGAAAGATTTCTCATCTACAGACTACAGAAGTCAAAGAAAAGGCAAGGACCTCAAGTGCATCCCGACAGATAGGTCGTCACCACGGCACGCCCTGAACAATCTAGAGGTACATAAGATGTACCAATGAACGAAACCATGCAAATGTTTTTGCAAGTACGTTGAATTCATCCTACGAATCCACCAACAAGTGAAAAGAAAGAGAGTTTGTCGATATGGTAGGTCAAACCAGACTAAGGGTCAGATGCACTTAGTGGAAGCCATCTCATTATTATCCATTCCAGTTGAGGTTGGCAAACCCATAAGATCGCAGAGATTATTTATTAGAAAATTCATTTCTAGATGCAAACTCATCTTACGGTTTTGGAATCATGTGAGATGTCGAGGGTAATATGTGATGCTTTATACTTCCTATTTTTGTAATGCGATGCTTTATATATCTATATTGGGTCTCAACCTTCCTATTTCTGAAATATGTCGTTTGTGAAGACTACGAGGTTTCAAATGATTACTACATGACACTCCATCCAAATTGTTCATGTTCAGTCAGTGTCCGGTATATTACTATAAAAGAAGTTTGACATGCGCTGATATCTTTGCTATTGCTCCAAACTGAATTAGGCTCATGCACTCATCTTACGCTTTTGGAAATTTATCAATCCAACAGAGCCGGTGCATGATCCCTAGATCAAAATAAGACAGAGAATCAATTTGGAACGTTGAGAATGAGAGAAACATGTCGTTAAAGTAAACGAAGAAGAAGCTGTTTTAAAACACGACAGAAGAATGAGCATGTGCTACATATGACTACATGAATAGTTAATTAGATAGCAACATGACTTTTGTAATACACAGAACTCGATTAGTTGATTTCTGTATGGCAGAGCATAAGACGTACATTGTAGATTGAAAATCAATTTATTATATCATATGTATGTGAAGTGATGTGAATAAATTTGATTTTGTTGGCATTTATTTTAAACTTGTGATTTTTTTTCTGTGAAATGTGAAACCCCAAGTTTCTCTGCAATTCTGCTTCTATATTGAAGCCATATGCAACACTCTTTACTAGATGTGGACAATTTTGATAGTTTCTGATTACTTACAAATCGTATTTCAAGATGAAATATAATATGTATATGATATTTTCTCTTAAATTTCATTAATTTTTAATATTTAAAAATAATTCGAGAATACATTAAATATTTGTGAAATAAAGTCCTTTAAAGAATTTTTTTAATAGATACGAAATCATTAGTTACATTGCATTCTTATTTAAATTTTTCTACAATGTTAGTCTTGATCCATCTTACTAGCTATAAGAATTTCCAATAGATTGAGCATAGTAAATATGTTGATCCATATATTTATATTTTTAATTATGAAGAACCTCTATGCTATCATGAATGATAGACTTACAAGTCATTTTTTATATACAAATGATATCAATAATAAATAAACTTTTACTGTGGATATTTGACAAAGATCTAAACTTGTATATAAAAAATAACTTATTTAGAGTAAAGAAATGAAATACGGTAATAAAAACTAAACCATATAAATATTCCTAATTATTCATTAAAATCAAAAAATTCGATTATATTCTTAAATATTGGAAAAAATCGTAGATCTCTAGATTAAATCAATCTAAAGCAATTGCCATGTACTTAAATATGTGTAGAAGAAAATATTGTAACGTTCAAAAGATTCCTTATGTATTGTGTATTTATTTATATGTGTTATTTTCTAGTCAAATAAATTATTGCTAATGAATTTTTATCACTGAATAATAAATATTTAAAATTATTATACATTTGAATTCATGAAAATATTATATTATCTTACTATATCTAATAAATAATGATTGAAATTATAAGATTCTTTCTGTTTATAATATCAGATTATAGTGGTAATTATCAGAATCAGAATTTAATTTATATGGTTTTTTTGAAATTTTGGAAATTTATTTATTTTACATTATCGTGTTGTTTGATAACGTTTTTATTGATTTATTACACTATTTTAAATCTTAAATTTAAATTTATTTTAGAAAATTTTAAAATTTTCAAATGGAATCTGTATGTTATTAAATAGTCACGAATGGTGATTTATTTTCTGAAAAATTATGCAATATAAAAAGTTTATTGTCATAAAATTTTCATTATATGTAGAATCTTCATTATGAGGAATTTTTTTCAATATTTAATGTTTGGGATTAACATCAAAATTTTATACGACATCAAAATGACATAGGATTCTTTTTTTGGTGTATAGAAGTTTAAAGAACATGAAAAGAAGGAATATTTTAAAAAAATCCTTGTGAAATTAAAATTCTGATCATTCTCATTTTCAATAAACACAAGGTTTATCACAAGTGATGCTACAGACTTTTGGAAAAAAATCAAAAGCTTAATGTTGATCACAGAAAATAATAATTTGCAACATGAAAAATCATTAAAGTATTTATGAGATACTTTATAGTTTGAAGATTTCTTGAGTGAGGAAACAACCAGTTCGAGGAGTTGACCAGTTGGTAAATTGTTCTTACAACTGGTCTCGGAATCTTATATATTTGATGACTATGTTTAAGTTGATTGAGTCGGGATATGGCGACAGGGTAACTCTTTGGTGGACTGCTATTGGCTTCGAATCTAATGCCTTCGATTATCGTCATTGCGGTTGATCGAATGTAGATGGAAGCAAATGTAGATTGCCACGAATACTGACTACATTCTACAGCTTTGGCAAGATGCCTAGAAGACTTCCAAAAAACAAGGGCGAAATATCTCAAAAAAATCTTTCTCCTCAAACAAACTCTGCTTGTCAATATTAGACGATGAAAAATTATATTCACAAAGCATCATGACGGACGTTATCAATTAATTCTTCCCATCAGCCCTAAATTTAGGTTCCAAGCATGAACCGTAGGTTCCCGTCCAGCATCCCTTCTTATACGCGTCGCGAGATAAATTTTGGCACTTTCGTTTGAACTTCATACGCTGTCAAGTAGGTACAGGAGGCGGTCGTATTACATTTCGTTGTTACCAGATGACCTACTGTTTCGCTGGGTTTTGTCGTCATTATCTTTATGAACCGGTGGTGCAGGAACATTCTTCGGATGTGCTTCAGAACAAAAATTAGTTTTTCGGCCGTCCGCCGTTCCGGATGATCTCCGCGACGGGGAATGTGCCCCAACTATCCGCGCTGGGCAAATGCAGCAACGCGAGGGTAAAATCGCCGACCTTCCGATAGCCGTCGTACGACACGAGAGAAGTTGGCGTCGTCGATTCGGCATAATCTCGTGACACTGGGCGACCGGCAGGAGCCTGCGGTGTTGAACTAACGCGAAATGGTAAAACAGAGAAGATCAGAACATAAAAACAGCAGCAGCAGCAAGTGCAGGCCCAGGCAGAGGGCAGGGCAGGGCAGGGCAGGCCGAGCAGAGCAGACAGAGCGCAGCAGCAGGAGGAGGACGAGGACGAGGAGGAGGGAGGGACCGAGCGAAGGAGGGAGGCAGGAAGGAAGGAAGGAAGGAAGGAGGGACCGAGGGAGGGAGGGACGGGAGGCAAAGGAGCGTACAGTTTGATCTGGGATGGGTCGGTGAAGAAGCAGAGATCGGGAGAGAGCCACGCGAGACTTCGTTATCTGTGGCACCCCACCCGTACGGAGTTATATCCATGGAACTTTCGCCACTCCTGTCCCAGTTACGATTCGAAATACTGTATCGCCCGCTGCGGCTGAGCGAAGCAAGGCCCCGCGGCCGAGCAGGCGAGAGGAGACCAGAGCACGACTGGGCACTCTGCCGGGCCTTGGGCGATAGTATTCGTAGTCATAGGATAGTACGTACAGTATGCGTATCGTATCGAGACGGGTAGGGCCAGGGGGGCGTATGCGCTGATGATGTCATGATTCGAATGGTAACTTTATGAGGGGCACTTGCGGATCCTCATCCACTCGAACGTAGGTAGGGTCGCAGTAAACAAGGGCATTCACCTCTGGAGGAACAGAGGAATAAGCTGGCTCAGCGCGGTGGCAACAGCTGCAGCGTTCCGGTCCCGATTCGAGGGCGAGGTCCTCAATACTGCGTCTGGTTCCGAGGCCCGGGAGCAGATGCAAGCAGGCGAGCGAGCATGGTTGCACCGTGGCAGGCAAGCCTCCCTCTAGCGTTTTCGGCGCCTCACCGGTGACTGGTTGGGCCGGCTGGGGTTGGACTGGACTTGTCCGTAAGAGGCTCGATCGTTGGCCCGCTGGCTGGCTGGCTGGCTGGCTGGACGCAATCGAAACGTGGCGAGCACTATATCTGGTCATCAGTCCGTCTGCCTTCGTCTGAGAGCGATGGAAGGAGTAAGGGGCTGATTGTGCGATTTCGGCTTTCTCGGATTTTCGCTGGATGCCTTGATTGATCGTGAGGCAGAAAAGATTTCGATCCATTAGCGTTCGCATTTTGGACTTCGGACCGATGGTGGTGGTTTTTTGCAATGTGCTTGTAAATTGTCGTCGGATAACCTTTTCTGCAAGCCGATCAGCTGGTCCTGGTCCGAGCCGCTGTTGATGCCGTGTTGCGGTCTGTTCGCATATCTGGCCCCGCGAACACGGTCTTGGTTTTGTTGACGTGCGTTCTCTTCTCAGACGCATCGTCCGGAGCGCGAGAGCTCGTCAAGATGTGTCCCGACGTGATTAGAGGTCCCTACTCGAGGCCTGGGATTTTCTTCCCGCAAGAAACGTTTCAGAAATGTGATTCCCAACAAGGCTTTTTCAACGCGGCCTTCGATTCCCTCTTCGAGCTGCACGATGACCGGAGGAGCGCTCTTCTTCTGAGCTGTGAGCGAGCGCAGCAGCAGATCCACGACCCTGGCAATTACGCAAATTATCAACCTATGCATTGCGACAGCCCACCCCTGACCGAGATTGACACGGGCTGGATGAGTGATGTTTTCGAGGGTCTACCCGTTATCAGTCAAGAAATGACGCATGTACCCGTGGCGGAGATCTCCGCGCCCTTCTCGAACTATTCGCCGTTCAATTCCCCTCTCCCAGTGTCGCTGGACCTCTTGAGCTCTGAAGCGGAGGAGGGCCAAAGTAATCAGCAGTCGTCCCCGACTTGTGCCGGAGCTGTGCCGTTACCGCTGGACATCGATCAGACGGGTCCAATCTGCCCCGATTCCAATCACTCTGTGCTCGAGGCTGCTGCATTTTCTCCTCCCTGCCCGCAGAGCCTGGGCGCGACGTCTCCTCCCGCTGCTGCTGTTGTCCCCAAACCTTTGAAAGCACGTGGCTCCAAGCGTTGTGACAGAGGGCAGCAAAAGCCAAAGAGAATGCCAAAATGGGCGAGAGAGGTGACCCTCGCTCCTTCCGAACAAGTAGAGCATGTGTTACGGGAACGGCAGCGCAGAGACGACATGAGCTGTAAAATTGCCATTCTGGAGGGGCTACTTCCGCCGTGCCCGAAGGTATCCATTATTAGTCATTTGTCTCGGCGATGTCAGATTTCTAGCCTGAATGGGATGCGATGGAACAGTTTCCCACTTGCAGCAGATGCGAACTTGCTTGATGCCTGCTTGCGGTCCATGACAAAAGTGCTTTCCATGCTAGAGAGACACAGTCCCTGCAGGCTGTAACGGGTTTCTGTTGTCGTTTCTGAAATCTGTGCTGATTGGGTAACTCGTGTTTGGACTTGAAGCGAGACAGGGCATCCATCGTTCATGACAGTGTTCAGTACGTGAAGAGTTTGCAACAAGGAGTGGAAGAACTGCAGAAGAAGCTCGTCGCCCTGAAGCGGAGCAACGGAAGTCCTGCAACGACTATCACTACGACCATCACGACCACTCAGATCAGCAGCCTTCCTCAGCTAGCCAAGGCTACCAGTCCCAGCAGTTCACCCGCACGTGACTCTACCAGTCCAGCTATCGACGCTGGCGTGGAAGACACGGAAACAGTTCCACCAAAACTGTTCCATCTGGTGGAATTCCACGTCCAGCTGGAGGGTTGCAGTGAGGCAGCGAAATTGACCAGATGCAAATGTCGATCCGACTATTTAAGCAGTACAATGAGAGTGCTCGAGCAACTGAATGTTGAAGTCTCCAGATGCAGTGTGACGAAAATGTTTGATCACTTCATGTGCGTTATTGTCGCCAAGGTTAGTACATATTTTGGCCTCATCCCAAACATGTCATATGTCCGATACCTGTGCACGTGAAATAGGATCGTTTTACTTAGAGTCCACTATTCATAGCGTTTAGTCAAGCCGAATGTCAATATATCTCACAGAAAATCAGGCATCATTAGAGCTGGTCCGGCTGTCATATTTCTTGTTATTCCATGATACGATAACAATTTGGAGCCATTCCGGGTTGGGTCTTTTGTTAACAAGTTAAATAATCGTTAAAAAGAAGAATTAGCGAATTGAATATTGTAGATACACAAGGTGCTTGAGTTTAAAAGAAGTGAATTTTGTTACATCAATCTCTATAATTTAAACCGCGAGGCTCGAAGCTCAGCTGTTGCAATTGCGACTGCTATCTAGATGATGACGTATTTCATGTTTGCTACAAGTTATGAAGTCAAACTAGAAAACCAAAATTGAAAACCAGTGTAGCGTATACAGAGCAGAGTCCAGGTTGTTCAAAAAAGACGCCTTGGTTTGATGAACTTCTCCTCGTGATGATTGTTACAACATCTAAATTTGTCATAAGAACCTAGAGTTCTTTCACACTTGTGCTTCTCTCACACCACATCCCCGACAAACTGTCCATTTCGTACCTAAGGCAGGTACGTATAACACCCTTTGGCACGGGAATAGCAAATTCAACTTACCTTCAGTGAGCTTTCCACCGTAGGTACGCCTACCACCAACCTGATTTTGTTCATTCTCACTCATTTGCTAGCTTAGTAGTAGTCGATAATCTCTTTTACCCTGACTTCTAAAAACCATCTTCGCCGACAACTCACAAACTGCTGCATTCGTGGTGTCTACGTGAGTGCAGATGAGTGTCGGAAAAGTTCCTGCTATTGAGGGGTGAGGTAGAGCAATGAACAGCAACATGCGCTGTTAGCCTGTTAAGCAGTGCATCATGTGATATCCCCCACTGCAATAGCGTTTCATCGGTCGGTGGTCCGGTTTGTATTTCTCTTTTGATCTGAGTGCTTAAGCAAAATTTTTATACGCAAGGGAGCGGTCTTCACACCTGTAATGTCCTTTGTGGTTATGTGCAGCCACGCGTGTCAGCAGTTCCAGCTCCCACATCAACGTCGATTGCGACCAGTCTCAAGAAAGCTGTTGAACTCTGATGGAGAAGTATTCCTGATGGCAATGGATGCACACGGCTGATGAAGGATTCTGAGATGGTACCATGTTCTCCTCTTTATCCAAGTGGTTGTTGTAGAATACAATACCTACTTCTTGTCAAGTTCATTGTGGTAGCTCTTTAACAAGCGTTTCCAGTAAAGGTGCTCTAACTAACTGATTAGAGCATCATCCTTGTATCTAACTCCTGAAACTGATCCATCTGCCATGCGTATATCGCCGCTTCATCCCATACTCACTCGCAGGGGTCACATGTAGTTTCTGCTGTAAGTTTCACCTGTTATGACACTGCTGACCACGTTGCCAGTTCTAGCATTGCTCGGCAAGTAAGGAGTCCAGATTGGCCTTTACTTCTGAGTACGGTGACCCGAGAGAATTTTGTGATGACAGGAGATGTACAGATACCTTGAGCAATGTGAGAGTGAGCAACTACCGCAACCCTCATCGTTTATTTGCTAGATCCCCAAAGCTCTGACCTGCAAGTGTCCCGACAAAGATGATGCCAGGATCTTTAGATACTGCTCTATTCTTGTGGACGTAGTGGCACGTGTTTGACAAAAATCAACGCGCTTTTCCATAGGAAGCAGATAAAGATTGTGGACGGTGTATATTAACTTTTGCTCCAGTGTAAATGAATCGATGTACGGGCTTTCCTTGTCCCTTTGGTATGTGTGTACTCATGGAAAATGTCTGCAGTGAAGTAATTTCGCTGTAGAGCAGATGCTATTCGCCGAGACCATCGAGCGCAGAACCGAAAGGCAGATGAGCCTAGCTGAGAAGATTCTGGATAGTATCATAATCCAACATTCTTATAGTGAACAATTCTCTTGTATGTTTGTATGAAGGTAAGCAATTCTCCGGAGCAAGCTCAACATATTCATCTTTGCAAAATGAGACCAGCGTTGAAGACATATGTTTCTACTTGACTTTCCCTCTTTGGCAAGTGCAGAATTCTTTACCTTATATCCTTGCTCTGCATATGATGATAATGCTAAATGTTATATTCGTTATTTCATTGACGTAGATTTCTTGGTGGGTAAATTATGCAACTCTTGCAAGGAGGTTGTTAGTCTTTCGTTGTCATGCGTGGGGATGGTTGAACTGTCCAGGAACTCAGGCTGTTAGATTGTTGAGTTCTTATTTTAGAGTGTATAGATGATTTGTGTTGTGTTTGCTTAGATGACATGTATCATACTTAAATGTTAGATGTTGTTTGGCAGTACAGTTTTGGTTGATGGAAATTTTTAATAGAGGATATCAAATTTAATCCATGTCAAAATTTCTGGGGACTGAATGAATTATAATTGACTCTTTTCATGACGTGGAAATCTTGGTCATTTGTAATGAATAGCTGCACCTGATCATTGAGAATTGAGTGTAAGCTTTGATCTGTTATATTGTGTAAATGGACGTAGATTTTGTCTCACTTAATTACGAACATCATTCTCTAGTTTATCTCGGGGTCTTGAACATCTTGCAAACGGGGCGAGATTGTCACATTGAAACTCAAATTCATTTGTATCAATATATACGAGGAACATTTCAAGTAAATAGAACTTTTCAACAGGCTCACATTCCGAATCAGATGTATTCGATACAAATTATGAGTTAACTAAAGAGAATATAAGTTCAGCTCAGAAAGGATCGCTTTGAAAATGTATATCTGTAACCATTAGTTCAATTCAAATTATGATAAAAAAGGACAGGATAACGATATATGACTTTCTAAAAAAATGGTGGATCACTACATCATGTTAAAACAACAGTAATTTTCTAAATAAATGGTGGATCACTACATCATGTTTAAACAACAGTAATTTTCTAGAATATTGTCTGATTAAAGACTTAACATAAATAATTCCTAGAAACACAGAAGTTTGTAGAACTGTTTCTATTACGGATACAAAATAGTAACATTGATAGTAACAATTAAACATATGTAACGATGAATAATAACTTAGAACTTTCAAAAAAAAGAAAAAAAAGAAAATGATTCATACTAGTATGAAACATAAACGGAAATATACTCAGATCGTTAAAAATACATGTAACGTTCTAATTTAGTAACGTGGTCATATAAGTAAATTTAATTCTACTTTGATTCAGTCAACCTCAAAAATTTTTGTTGACATTTTTTATCGCATGAAAAATAGATCCTACATTTGATTAGAATTAAATTTCTACGATATTTTAATAAATGTAGAAATATTTTTCTACAATCGCATTCATTGATGCTAAAGTATTTAAAATTTATATTTAATATAAAATTAAATCATAAATAAATTTTTTTTGATTCATTAAAAAAGAATTTTTGAAATGTGACCTAATTTCAAAAAATAGATTGAAAATTTTAATTAAAATTTTTACTTAAAAAAAGAATAAGAAATAAAATTTAACAAATACTATTATATCCAAGAATATTAGATATATTTATTTTATAAAAATTTAAAAAATAAAATAAAATAAATAAAATAATTATAGAAAAGAGAGAACAATATGAGACCGAACACATTACGAACCATATCATGAATATTTGCTTTGCGACAGAAAAGGTTTCGGATCTGCTTCCGATGACAATTTGTAGTCGCAATAAATGTCTTGGTGACTAAGAGAGACATGTCTGTATGATGCAGGAGGTTGATGAATACACTGCCGTTTGTGGTGAAATATGGAGATGAATGTTGAGTGAGTTTTCATTTCGAAAGAGAATAATGTCAACTGTACATTGTTTTCATCAAGAACCGTACTCGAGCAAGCAGAATAAATCAGTCATATCCCATATTTCAGCAACTCTACTTATTATTGAGGTTGCAGATAAATTTCTCTAGCGATTACTTATTAACTGGTTGTTGGATGTCATTAAGAGCCATCCGCAGGGGCAGCTTCATACAGTTCTATGTTTCCATTCAAAGTTTGAAGGAGTTATTATAGGAAATAATACTGTCCGAAATTTTCGCCCACTCCGGTTATTCTCAATCAGCTCGACTTTCGCGCATTGTTTCATGTCGGTTTTGTCTTGTTATTCTCAATGTTTCATCCACTTGAACTTACTTTCATCCTCAGAAATTAAATTTATTCACAATGATCTATTTTTTGAAAATTTAAAAACTTTTCGATGTATTTATAGGTAATGTGAAATACAAATGAAATTAAAAGGACTGATTTTACATAAAATCGTATTCTGGCAATAAATTTAGTATTTTTGAAATGAAATTTAATCAATTCAAATATGATTTAGGATATCTTATTATTTTTATTTTAATATAAAACTTTTTGTATGATTTATCTCTCGCTAATTTTTTTAATGTTTATATTATTAATGAATGTATTTGTAATATTTTTTCAGTTCAAAATTTTGTAATTTAGAGTTTTATTAGTAAATTTTTGATCTAATATTGTAAAAATGATCATTACTCTATATAACTTTTTTATGAGAATTTTTAAAATAACACGTAGCAAAGTTATATTTTTGAAACTAGAGATGATTAGAATCAAGTTATAATCAAAATATGATAAAATAAAAATATATAGTAATAACTAAAATCTATTAGCAAATTCTACTCGTGCTACTATCACAAAATTAACATAGTATCATATTTTTATTAAAATTATTCTAAAGAATTTTTTTAAATGTTTTAGGTATATTAAATTTATCATCAATTTTGCTTGGTTCAACATTTTCATTAAAAAAATTCAATGTTTGACAAAGTAATATTTGATATTGATTTGTTTCATTCTACTGTTCGTCATTTAAGTTGTAGCAAGATATAATACAATCTGATTATCAGAATGAAAATTAACAATATTATGTTTTAATGATACATTTATCTAAATAAATAATTTCTTTTCTTTTTTATGTTTGATTTTGTTGTACACTGAACAATATATTTTGTAAAATAGATCTCCAACTAATGCAACTATCATAAAATGTAAATACATATACACTTCTAAATTTACCTTGATTCAAAATTTGTACATAGTAAACATCAACATAATTTAACAAAAAATTGATATAGTCTAATAAATCATAATCGTTAGTTCTCTTTATGTATTTAACAATACATTTCATTGATTCTTAGTGCAAATTTTTGCAATTGACATGTTTTTTATTATCTTGTTCATATCTAAAGCAATATCAAGTTTTGTGCACATCATCAAATACATGAAATTTCCACAACTTTGTCATAAGTAATAACATTTTTTTCTCTTAATGACCATCTTAATTGTTCATTGAATTACCAAAAATTTAAACTGTGTTGTCAAAGGAATTTATATTTCTTTAAAATCTGTATTGTTAAACTTATCAAATACAACCCTAAACTTATCAAACGTACTTGCATTCATTCAACCATAGCGTATTTTCATCAACTCCATATATTCATATGGAGTTGATGAACCTAAACATACCATGAAACCCTACCCTAAACATACTCTGAAATTTATTCAAATACATCACCTTAAATGTAAGTTTCAACTGATTCTTACATAAGTCAATGTTATAATGGTTCTTTGTCAAGATGAACATGTCATTCATGCAAAATATCGGAATACTAAGATTAGTATTTAAAAATATGAATAGTAAGATCTTCAATCTTATTATTCATGTACACACAATGTTCATACACATTTTATGAGAAATCTTGTGCTTTCATGAAATATCAAATTTTGCATTTCATTGTCTAATAGCTTGGATTAATCAAAACATCAATCTCAACAATCTACAAACTAATTTTTCTTGACATTCTTTCTCAAAGTCAACGGATTATTTCATGTAAATTTACTCCACTAGATATACATAGAAAAATGTCGTAATTACGTCCATCAAATCCATAACAATATTAAATATAGCAACAAATGCACATACTATACAAATTGTACCATACTTTTTTTGTAATGACAGATAAATATGAAAATGGAGCATAATGGTAAAGATCTAATTCCTTGAGGATAGAAACAACACAAAGAGTACCAAGTGTCATAGTATTTGATAGTCTTTTGAGAAATTTGAATTCTCAGGCCACTGTCACTCCCAGAAGTACTGCAGATGTTCAACTCAAAGGACACGCAATGCAGCGTAATACACACATCACTCCTGAAATTCTCAAATATAGCATCACAAAGGTCGATCGCAATCTATTCTTAGTATTCAAGGTAGAAAATTCCCAAAGAGTACACTTAGGATCTGTAGGCAGCTACCAATTGCGAACTTGTTTAAATCTTGATCTAATCAATCGCTATTTAGAACATTCGAATTGGGCTACTATCTTGGATGCGGTATCTTCGACAAACTGAAGTACCTCTCGCGCGGTGACAAAACACTCAATACACAGACGCGCAGTGAATGCATACTTCAGACCTGAGAAAACTAAATTCAAAAAAAGTCCCCGAAGGCCAATGCCTAGGACCCCTATATTCCTAACTAACTCTGAGTTATCATTTGCTCCTATGAGAGCTCCGAACATGTCCTACATCCGCGGAATAGGCGGTTGCCTTCCCGTCCAACTTCTGATCTAAACCTAACCTTTGCAAAACGGCCGCCAATTCCAACTCCAAGTTCAATACCGCGTCGCGCGAACTTGGAAGAAACGCGTCCAACTTTTTGGCTAACCGGCGCTGCCCACTAACACTACTCGCTATCATTGCAATCGCACGGCGCTCAAGATCTCGTAACTACAACTATTTATGCATCTCTACCTGCCATAATACAAACCCTCGCAGGCTATGGTTCACCCTCACGGTCAAGGCGTCATTCGTCTACTCTAATAACTGTCGGTTCTTCTCTTCTGCCTCCGACAATCTTGTCTTCATTTCGCATAACTGCTCCTCGGCTTGCGTACGTTGAGACCTCAACTCATTGCACTAAGCCTCTAGCTTCTCTATCAATTTC